ACCAAATAGTGGTTGGATTCCTTCGCACTGAGCAGGTATGTAGGTCTAATTGGGCAGAATCTTTGAGTTCTGCTTACCAAGCTGCTGTGCGTGGCCAGGGGAGCTTCTTCGGAGTAAAGTGGAGTATGTTGATTACGTACGTTTGGCAGGAGCGCTGCCGACGAATCCACCATGAACCAGAGCGGGATGTGACTGTGCTGCAGGAATTAATGAGGGATGACTTAAAGATGTTGAAAATTTTGTAGTTGTTTATAGTTACATGTAAGTAGGGGAAGTGGTCAGACGAGGATCTATCTCTTTTGTTCTTTCTCCAGGATGGCCACAATGGCAGCCCTTTCGTTGTATTGGTTTTGCGAATTGCAAATTGCAATTTCGATTTACTTAATAGTAAAAGGAAAGTGATTCAACGAAAAAAGAAAAAAAGATAACATAAAAGAATATGAAAATTTTGGATAAAAAATAGACATTACCCTTTTATATTTTGTGCATTCACTTTTTGGGTGCATAATCACTATTTTGAGTAAGCAATTTATATCAAAACGATGTCAATTATCACATGTAATGATGGACAAGAAAACCCATATATTTTGTCAAAATTTACTTTGATTTGAAGGATTTGAATTTGAGAAATTTAAGATTTAGAGTTCACAACTTGGGATTTTGGGTTAGAGATCAAAATTGAAAGTTTAGAACTTAAGATAATGTGCCGATTAATTGTGATCCTATCTATATAATACACAAAACTCTAACATGCTATACAATTTAAGTGGCTATGTACAATTACAAGTTGGTACTCTAACTTCATAATTCAACGTATGGAATTGAATCCCAGAACTATAACAAATAATTATCTCATTCATTGCTAATTAACCAGTTGCACGGGAGCGGATCAGGTGAGTAACTCTATGGTCAGTAACCATGAGTAACCTGTCGACATCAGCATGACATCAGTAGCCTCTCTCTCCTAGAAAGTTTTTTATTTTTTCCCCTTTAATCTTTAACGGACGATTTCTCTCTCGTTTTAAGTCGAAATTTAATTTTTTTGCACAGATAAATCAGATTAAATATGCTCTTCAAAATGATATCCACTTTGATATATTTTTAGTACCAAAAAAATTGAATAATTTTTTACCAGTCATTACCATATGGTATGCTCCAATTTAATACCATATGGTAAGAAAGCGTACTATGATGGAACGAACATACCAATATGGTAAGAAGGTTGAATACATGATAGTAGGAGTATATTAACTGTCATTTACAACTTTCATCATTGTTTACTACAAGTTACCACAAGTTATTACCAATCACATACCATAGTGGTAAAGTATGGTAATTTTTTATCCAGTATTTTTTCACCCAGAATTTTATAGATCCAATAGATCATAGTGGTAAAGTTACCATATGGTATGTAGTTGGTAAAAAAAATTCTCGAAATATATTGAAAATTGATCTCATTTTGTAGAGCACAACGAACTCGTTCCATCTGTGCAAAAAAAAATTGAAATACGAGTTAGAACGAAGAAGATAAGAGCCAATTAAAAAAACTAGGAAAAATAAAATGTCTTTAATTGACAACCCTTATATCTGAATTTTCTGGACCCACTTAAATCTAAAGGTCCAGATTTAGTTACTCATAGGTTAGTAACCATTGGTTACTGACCCTATCCTAAACCAGTTGCACCCTCTACACAAATTTTTTTTTTTTTTTGGGACTCTACACAAATATCTTACTAGATAGCCATTTATTATTACTTTTTCGTGTGAGTGTTTTTTGGTAGTAAACAATAAGGATGACATCAATTTAATAAATTAATTAAGGAGTAAAAGGAAGGGAGAAGAAAAGAAAAAGATACAAAGGTAAGTCTGGCGAGTATCCACTTAACCCACAATCGCACGTAGATATGCTTATACGACAATCGTTGATTGCAGAGAAAGAAAAAAAAAAAAGATTGGTTTATGGGTTTGACGCGGTGGAACGATCGGATCCCTTTTGCCGCCTGTGATTTTTTACAGTTAATTGATGATTGGACGATGTTGAAGCCTGAAGGGCCACGCGGTGCCTTCCTTCTTCACTTCAGCTTGCTAGCTCGTGGATACTGGATAGTTACTACGCTTTCATATCTTGTTAAACCTAATATTATCTCAAGTAAATTAATGTTGCATGTGTCATCGTTAAACTGATAACAAGGATATTTTTTTAATTTTTCCTTAATTTTAATATTTCTTTTTTGATGAATTCTTAATTTTGATATTTTCACGGTCGACTACTGGACATGTTATAGAATATGAGCGGCTACCAGAAATTAGTACGGTAAGACTCATGTTCCAATATTTTTTTTATAAGGGTGATGTAAGTTTAACTTTTTTTGTAGTTAAAGTACTACTTATATGATTTAAAGCTGAGATCTCCGGGTTCTAACCTAATGGTATTTCCATTAAGCCCAGTCTTTGATCGTCATGTCCCAATTTTTTTCGGAGGAATTAACGTATTAATTTGATCCAATTGTTTCGTTTTGAAATAATTGTACTAGGTTTACTCGTTTGTCAGTAGAAAAACTGGAAGGATCAATTTGGAATGAGAATTTTTGCATTGATCCATTTTGAAACAATTTCAATTCTCTAGGGGTGTGATAGATAATTAGAATTGACTTGTTATAAGTAACTTATTTTATTAGACAAGACAATCAAGCAAATTATTTCGATTCCGAATCTGATTCATCCAATATTTAATGCAACTTCGCAATAAAAATCCTATTGCACCACATTAATTAATGAATTTTTTGGCTAATTTCTGTGGGTAAGTTTGGTACACGATTTCATTTCAAATACTGAATTAAGTCGATGACGAACGAAAATAGTCAAGCTATAAATAGACTCGTCGTCGACATTATCAATTGCTAGTGCCTTTCCTTCCAGCTCAACAGACAACGAAATGTCAATTAAGGCGTCAATAATTTTTGGCCTATTGCTTTCCGACTAGTTCTTCAGAGAAACTTCGCTGGGAGGTTAAGGGTAGTGATCATATTATTTATAGCATAGGTAGGTTGAAAGGGGCTTATTAGTCTTTAGCCATGCATGCCCGTGTAAACCTAGCAACTAATATATGGTGTCTTCCATCGTATCACATCGTAAATCTAGAGTACTGTATGTTCGTGTGAACCCTCAGTCTTAATTTTCTAAATCTCAAATTCCTGAACACTAAAATGATGCATATAATTTGTTGGATGTATTTCTACAAATCATGAACGTCAGATTATTGTTTCTTATTAAATCGATCTTAGCTTATAAAATTTATAGAGTTAAGAGCTGGATTCTAATATTTAGGTTTTGAAATTTAGTATCATATCTCAAACTACGGTCAATTCAAAGTCTATATATAATTTTCTTACTTAGAATATATCATACCTTTTTTGTTTTACTCAAGTTACGATAGAAACATCGATCTACAGTGGCAGATACATGGTACTTTGAGGGTGTCCCGGGACACCCCTAAATTTTGGGAATACGATTATTCAACCCCCGATAGTATTTTGCATATTGGTGTACAAATATTTTTAAGTGATAGCGGGACACTCTTAAAATTTGGGGAAATGATTGTCCAACCCCCAGTAGTAGTTTGTGTATGTTTAAATAAAAACATTTGAGTGGTAGCTTATATGATTTGAACTTGGGTCGCTGTTGTTAATAGAAAACATATTTTTCATTAGATCACAACTCATTTATTCTTGTATTTTAAATCCAAATATACTAGTAAAAAGCTATTCCTAATTCACAATTACTTTCAAAAGCTAACGATTAAACTCGATTATTGACTCTCCTTGTCCAGTAAGATATATCGAGAGAGATTTGTAGAGCATTGTTAGACACAAATTTTATAATTTTTTTCAGAATACGAAACACATCATGTGCTTTGCTGTATTTTGTACAAGTTAGATATTTTCTATTTAATAATTAATTTAATTAAATTAAATTTTTTTATGATAACACCATTATCTAAAATTTATGGATCCCCCATGTATAAATATAACATCTTGAGTTTTATATGAAAACACAAACCTGAATAAAATCATAGACCCAATTGCTTGAGCAAAATCATAGGACTTCATTAGTTAGTTCATAAAAGAGACAAAAATACCACACACACAAATAGATAGTAATGATAAAAATAAAAAAGCGTAAAATAGAGTGAGTTAATTAAGAAGGTAATGTTTTGTTAGGACATGCAGAAGATCACGACCTTAAATCACATACCACTCACTCAGTCACGAGATGGTAATAATACAACCTGAGTCGCGGATTAGATAGTGGGGGAGTTTGGTTCCCAAGCTATAAGTAGCATCAATTAAATAACTCCAACTATATATAATATAATGGGGCCGCCTTCAAATTCGGCCGAATGATTTCCGGTCGGTGGGCCTTCGTATATATCTACTACCACACCTACTTTCCGATTCATATGGCCCAGCTGTTTTAAACAAGCTAGGTTGGTTCAGACTTCAGACTCAGTAGTAGCAGTGTTGAGTAATGTCGTACCCGTCCTTGGAGTTGGACCTCAGCCCATGCAGGCCATAATAGGTCGTACGTCTGTATTGCATTAGCTGCAGCTTCATCTCTATGATCATCCTATACAATATACATGAAATGACTTTCAATCAAAATTTATGTGAGGTAAATGATTAAACTTGGTATGTTATTGACTATATTTGAGCGATTTATAACTTTTTTTAGTACAATCGATCATCTTTTATATGATATAATTATCTTGTATTATTGTTATATACAAGAAAAATCCAAACCATCGTGGCCTGTGGTTTGTGGTCTGTTTGTTTGAGTAAAATATTTCAGGTACCACTTAAGTTTAAGAATTGGGGTAGACATACCACTAAACTTTGAATAGGGAGTCGGGTACCATTAAAGTCGCCAAAATATGCATCTGTATAGCTTTCCATCCAACCCAAAATTTTAATTACCTTTTGCCGGTACCCAATTTTTTTTTAAAAACATCTAAAATTATATTTCAATAAATATTAACTAATATACAAATTAGAAAACCTTCTAAACATAGTATTGCCTTGGTATGTTTTGTGATATGGGACACACGAGACGTAGAATAAATGAGATGCGCAACACATGCGTGCTCCACTTAATTTATGAAAATTACAATTGTGATTAACCCACAAAATGTTTTTAAGACCATATTAATGTATTGAATGTCATGTCAGCACCGTCACTTCCCATCATAGATATATAGACCCATAGCAGGCCCACCATTAAGCCATTTTTCCAGAGACAAGAGCATCGCCAAAGCCCAGCAAGCCTCTGCCTTCGAAACTGTTGAGATAAGTAGGCAGTATTAGTTGTGGAGCGAAGAGGGACGTCGTTTGGTTTGGTTGGATGCATTAATATTACAGTTCACCAGGTCTATTTAATTGGATAAATACATTGTGGTTTTCGAAAATATTGAAAGTATTCGAGTGTGACTATGACTCTATACAAGTAATATCTATTGTACATAAATTAAGCAACTTCACTTATTTGGAGTAAATATTTGAAAATGTACTCGATTACACCCAAAAGAAAAATGTACTCGATAAAACCGAAACTCACACTCACGGTTACTTTTCTTACACAAATTCAAGCATAGATACAGTGAACAAATCAATGTCTTACAAATCCTTCCCAAATAATTCAAATAACATGCAATTGAGACAGATAATATCCATCTACAACTACACTATTTTATCTATCTTCTTTTTATTATGATTTCTTATTAAAACGGAAATCTTTCGTGTTATCATGATACTAATAGCTAGCCACAAGGCTACAGAGTCTAAATCTGATATAAAAATAGTTAATTTGCATAAGAAACAACAACGTTCCATTAGCATGGTTATGGCGCGTGATTGGTTTCACACATAGAGTTTCAATGATTTGCGAGAAACTAACTACGAAAAACTACAAAAAGCGATAAGATCGACTACAAATAATATTACTAATTACTTGATTTCTTATTCATGAATAAAACACAAAACAAAATACATATTGATAGGAATAATTCCACAAAAAGTCTTTCCCTCCCAAACAAGACAAACAAATTAAACATCCCAAATTAAAGAAATATCACAACAATGAATTAATACGGAAATTTTAAATAATAATACTTACTCAGCCACGTGGCACGATGCTTCAATGCATCACATTATTCATAAGAAAAACAATCCATTGGCATGATTTACTTGTTCTCAACTTTTCGGCTTCTTTCTGACCATGGAGCAGCTTGAATTCATTGGTCTTCCAGCTTAGGCTTCTATTTTCATATGGGTAATGAAGCCTCTGTCTTTGCCGTCGAGTTTCATTTGCCTCGAAATCTTCTTATAATCACGGTGGGATATAGATTTATAATTTGGTGCTTGTTTCTTTTGATCCTTGATGAGAAGGTCTGGTAATGGTTCAACCATGATGTTCATGCTTGGGTCGTGAAACGATGCAATTGATAGCCTCTCATTTTTATCGTTCACTAATGCTCTGTGCTCTATGCTCTTGTATTCTCCATTGGTGATAATCTGTGATCAATGCATTTCCAATGTTATTAAAATAGAAATGAATTATTACAATTGATCTGAGTTTTGATATCATTACCTCAAGCATATCCCCGATATTGACGATGAATGCGCCTGGAAGAGGATCAATGGGAACCCATTTCCCTTCTTTCATGACTTGCAGACCTTGTGCTTGATTCAGTCGAGTCAACAGAGTCAATCCAGTGCCGTCGGCATGTGGGGCAATACCGGTGACCTTGCTAGCTTGCTCACATGGCGGATAGTAGTTCATTCTCAGGCTTTGCACACCGTCGTCGAACAAACTGAGCAGCTTTTCTGGCTCCACTCCCAAGTTCCTAGCCATGGAAACCATCAACCTTCTAGCCGCCTTTTCCAGCTCTGCCGCATACTTGTCGAGAGTTTCCCTAGTGGAACATGGACAAGCCACAACGTTTGGTTAGTGGGTGATAGAGAAGGCTAATTTAGGAGTAAATTAAGACATGTATATATTCATTTGGCTAGCTAATTGATATGGAAAGGGAACAAACCTGAAAGAAGCGGGATTTTTCGGCCAGAACCTCATTCTTCTTTCATTGATAGGCGTTGCGTTGATGAACAACATGTCACCCCAATCAAGTGTTTGCTGTTCCGAAAAAACAAAAGCTTGGCCGTATCCTTCCATGCCAGTTGGCAGTTGTGCATATTCCATTTTTTCTTGCAACGGTAGGCTGAAAAACTCTTGAATATTCTCCGTCATCTTGGTAATCACCTCGTCGGCAACCCCATGATTGATCACCTACTTTTTGCCATGATATCAATCTCTCTTTTTTTTTTTTTTTTTATAAAGTAGTATAATGGCAGATTGCTAAAATAGCATAATTCATGGAATCCACATTTAACAAACGGGAAAGACCAAAATAGCGAGAACATATGTACTACACAAACAAAATATTAAGGATTTGGACGAGTCGTACCTGAAAGAATCCCCATTCCTTACAAGCCGAATGCAGTCTAGCGGACTCCTCCTTGTCATCGCCAACGAGCTTGCTCATGTCGATGACTGGAATTTGACCAAACTCACCATTAGCAACTTGTTCCAGCTCGCGCTCTGGTCGTATGTACCTAGCCGATACATCCTCCGAGACCGCAGCCAGCTCTTGAACATTGGGAACGGGAAGAGACCCTCCAACTTCCAGGGAGCTCGATTGTTCAACATCGGGAACAGGAACAGGAACAGAATCTCCAACCTCTTGGGAGCTCACCTCTTGAACATTGGGAACAGGAAGAGAGTGTTCAACATCCTTGGAGCTTGCAGCAAACTGATGAGCATTGGGAAAAGGAAGAGAACCTCCAACCTCCATTGTCGCCGCCATTTCAAAGAACACGCTTCTTCTTATGGAAATAGGATATTATTAACCTTCCTTATCTCACAACAACATGTATGTTTGGCTCTCTCTCGGGTATGGTTTGTATGACAAGGGCTCCCGCGGCAGGCTTTATATAGGCACCTCAATATCACTTATCGTGAGAACACTGTAATTAGCCGGCGAGTCTAAGCAAGAACCTACCAATATTTCTTTGCTCGAAAAAGATCTTGATTCTTGAGTGGTGTTGGCACTGTGAACTACCACACACACACAAAGAAAGAAGAAGAAAAAAAAAAAAGACGACGACAAGTCCTCCACGAGAGGACAGTAATTGTCATGGTCCACCAAAAAGCTGTATAAATTTTGACAATTATGCATGAAATATGGATCAAACACTTGGGAGGTAGGAGGCTCAAGATAGGTGCATGGTTATGCACTCATTAATAATCAAATTTGGACCTTTCATTTAGAAAATTCAGATTTAAGAATGAAAAATTAAAGATCATTTTTATTTTTCCTAGTTTTCTTAATCGACTCATATTTTTTTCGTTTTAACTCTTTTTTTTTTTTTTTTGCACAGATGGAACGAGTTCATCGTGCTCTACAAAATGAGATCAATTTTCAATATTTTTTGAGAAAAAAAATCTGGCCTCTCGGTACCAACGGCATACTATATGGTATTTTCTTCGTTTTTAATTCGTTTTTGAAAACGTTTGCACAGAAGGGACGAATGCATCATGATCTATTGGATCTACAAATTTCTGGGTGAAGGACCAAAAAATACCACACAATGCCATACAATACCACCCTGGTACGGGGTGGTATCTTGTGGTACACAATGTTAAAAGTCGTAAATGACAATTAATATACTTCTACCATCATATATTCAACCATCCTACAGTCTTAGTTTGTTCATACCACCATGGTAAGCTTTTCAAACAATAGGTATGCTTTTATTTCAATGATAGTAGTCGTTGTTTTGTAGTTGTAGTCATTTTCTTATAGTTATAGACTACAACTCTGACACGTACTATTATTATAACTTCGTGATTAGTATGATGGTAACCCTATAAAATTAACATAGTAACCTATCCAACAATAGCGTGATACAACGAGTGTAATGTGTTTGGAATACAAGGAGAGTAATAGGAATGAAAGAAATTGATAGTAAAAACGTCAATGAAGCAGGTAAGAGCATTTGGTTTTTTTGGTGAACACAATGAAGAAGCATTTAATTTATAGGATAAGGAACCAGCGCATGCAAGGCCAAACAATAACTAAGGAAATAATTAATTTTCGCTGGTAAGTGGAAAACTCATTAGTATATAAATAGCACCTATTTGCATTAGAGGTCGAGTGGGCAGTGGGTGTGTCTATAACTGTAAAATAAAGCTAATTTTCTTGTTTTAAATTACACAACGAGTTCAAGTATTAGTTTTTATGCTTGAAAGCTCGTACAAGTGTATCGTTAAAGAGTTGAGCTAATGATAATGTGTTGAGTCCACTATACCATAATTTTCAACAATAATTTAGACCAAAAATCAACATTATAAGCGAACAAAAATTTGATCTAGTTGTAATATCATTAATTTTGACCTTGAGTTCTTATATTCAAATTCCTTCAATGGTTGCTAATTATCAATTCTTAGTTGTGGATTCAACGCTAAAATTGAGGAAAATTATTACCGACTCTTGATAGTATGTTTGGGACCCTTTACGTATCTACATCACATCTCTCTAGCTTTTCAAATCTCCCTATAACTCACATATGACTTTTAGTGGGCTGTCGTCGGTGTCTCAAAAGAAAACTGCGATAGCACCTCCTCTTCTCTTGTTTTATTGCTCTCCTTTCATTTGAGTGTTTTGTCCTTCGATTTCTCTTCTTCCTTTAGGAGTCTTTTCTTACCTTTTCTCTCAAGGTGGTTGATTATTCCTCATGTTTGATCTTAGTCCATTGAGATGATTTTGTTAGTGTAAGAGGAGCTTAGGGTTTTCTCAACTTGTCTTATCTTTCGTTTGTATTTTCCTCCTCCTTTCTTTACCACCATTACAAACTTTCAGAAGATTAAGATATGTCGTAGTATTTTGTTGAAACATGTATTAGTAATATTCTTTTTATTAGAGAAATCATTAATTATTTTCATATTTAATTTAGATTCTGTGAAAGGGTACCCATCGATAGAGTTTCTGGGTACGCCACTGATAAGAATACACGCAAATCCTAGACATTTATATCTAAGCCCTCAAAGTTGGACCTCAAAATATAAACCCGTAATATACAGGTAAATCCTAAACTGTTTCTTACAATTCATCATTTTTCTTGTTCATTGTCTTACAACTATAGGTTCAAATCATTTTTACATAAATTACCTACTGAAAATGACTTTTTTATAAGTGTAAGTGTCTTTAATTTCTTAAATATTAAAACAAAATACCCTGCCAATCCCAGGATCACCAGAAATATGTTCCTAGACGGCAGCAGGATGGGACAGTGAATCACAGCTAAGTGACAGCTGAACTTAGAAAAGTGACAGCTGAACTTTGGCAAATCTCTTTCTCAAATACAATGTAAGAAAATACCAAGGTTGTTAAACCCCTATCGAACCCCCCGGTTGGACCCGGTTCAACCCGAGTCGGGCTTCAAAACGGCCTCCAGAAAACCCCCCGGTCTGACCCCTAAACAGGGAGAAGAAGAGAGGCAGAAGAGAGGAAAAGGAACGAAGGAAGGGAAATGGTAGGTGGATCATGGAGGTTAGGTAGATTTATTTTGTTGAAAATAAGTTTTTAATAGATATATGTAAGATAAATTTTATTTCACTCATTAAATTTTTAGTTACTACTTTATTTGTATATATATTTAGAAAACGTCTAAAACGGCTCAAACCGGCCGGACCCCGATCAGACCATTAAACCTCAAACCCCTTGCTTGACCGGCTCAATGACTTAAACCGAACCGACCGGACCCCGATCAGACCATTAAACCTCAAACCCCTTGCTTGACCGGCTCAATGACTTAAACCGGTTTGACAACCTTGGAAAATACAAAGTAAAAAAACACACATCACAAAGAAATCTGCCTCAATGGAAGCTAATTATCATGATGAGCAGAATTCACGGGTGGCACTTTTTTGTAAGCTGTTCGTGTCATAATTTTCCTTTTTGCAGACTTATTTATCCATGTGCAAGCTCCAATTCAAAAGATTCCTGCCAATCTTCCGAAAAAACTACGGAAAATCAACGGCACAACTGGTTGAGGGTTGACACATCCACTCAAAATCATAGCCTCATTATTAGTTCATAAAAGAGAAAAAAAAATGGCATACAAATTGTTGATGATGTGACTTAAATCGAACTATATGGCTACGATCTGGCTACAACTGGATGTTACTATTTGGCTACGACTATCTGGCCCGTGAACTAGTTAACACACATTATGATAGTGAACTACGTAAATTCGCGTGTAGTGTCTCGTTCTTGCTTTCATATTTTTGTTTTATCATTCCTCCTATTTCTCGATCTGCAGAGAAATAGTCGTGACACAAATCAATAGTTATGAGTTGAAAGAAGGTAATGAGAGGACAGAAGATCACGAGATGGTAATACTCATAGAACATGAGTCATATAGTCTGAGTTTGGTTCCCAAATTACTATCCAACGGAGTGACTCCAACCTGCCATCTTTAGTTAAGTCCAACTACAACATCGCCGCCGACCGCCGTGGCCCTTGATGCGCTCGACTCCAATGGGAACAAGGACCGGAGTTCTTTATTTCGGCCGGCCGATTGATTTCCGGTCGGTGGGGGCTTCAAAGCTGCCACACCTACTTTCCTATTCATGGTCCAGCAGTTGGTAAAGAAAGTTAGAGTACAGACTAGCGTGGTGGCTGGCAGGTGGGATGCACACAGTTGATCGGAATCGGAGTAAGGTGGGACGGGGGCCGGGACTCCAATTTGCCAGATTGCTCACATCCTAAAGTTTAAAGAGTTTGTTGATAAGCGGATCTTCTAGGTAGGGCTGGTAAACTATTATTTTGTTAGCGGTTTAACCGATGCAGATTCGGAACTGATGGTTAATAGATCCACCTATAACCGATTAAAAAATAAATGGTTGATTCTCGATAACCAAATTTACTTATTTACTAACCAGTTTTAAATGGTTAACTGACTTATCGATTAGGACCATCCTCATAGGCCGTTTCGGGCTGGTTTGCTAAGACCCTATTCGTGCTCTTAGTGAACATTGTGTCCTCAAAATTCACGGATTAACTGTATGAACCGTACTTTACATAAATATATACCATCTCCAGTAGTGACCTAAACGTCGTCAGATCTCCTCTCGATTATGAAGCAGACATCTAATCTGGAGGCCTTGAATCCAGCTGGAACTCGCTACAACTCTATTTTCGAACGTTAACCCTATAAATTTTATATATGAATGGTTGCAACCTAACGTTTTTCACGTGGACTAGCATCAATTGAAAAAGTCCAAAATACCATCAATTATCCCAGTCCAACTCCAACTACAGGTGGCCGTGGCCCATGATGCGATCGCTTCAATGGGAACAAGGACCGGAGATCTTTAATTTGGCCGATTGATTTCCGGTCAGTGGGGCTTCATATATATAATATATGTCTACCACACCTACTTTCCGATTCATTTCCGGTGGTCCACCAGTCTCAAAGAAGGTAATTAGCTGCAGTTTCTTTTTACTGTTTTTTGTTTGTTTTTCTCTTTTGGCCATGGGTGTGTGTATATCTTGCTGGACGCTACAAGAGAGAAAAAAAAAGAGCTCTTTGCAACTAATAAAATTGGTCCTAAAAGATCAAAATTAGTTATTAATACCTTTTCATAACAAAAAAAAAAAAATTGGTACAAGAGTCGGTCGCTATATCCATATTACGAATTCCTACTTCAACCAAAATGAACATTAGTAGCGGAAAGGAAAGCTATCGCAACCACTATTGTCAACAATAAAAAATCTTGATATTTCATGACCATTTTAATTTGGTTGTTATAGTTCACACTATTGGTTGAGAAATATTGGTGATTGGTTGCAATAAATATAAGTGACAATAAATTATGTGACTATTAGTAATCAATTTTGTATGGTTAAATAAAAAAATTTCATTAACAACGGAGGTCCAAGCAAACTATTTGGTGTCTCTCAAACTGAGATTACAATCATCAAACAGGGAAGGGATGGGATTAGGTGCTAACCCTTATAGGGGTTAGCACCGTGATAACTAGCAAAAATCACTACGAATTATTATAAAATTAATACAACATTTAAGCTAAATCACTACTAATTCAAACTAGTAGTAGTTTTTCCCTTGGTTAGAACGGTGCTAACTATTGTACAATTAGCACCGTAACCCCTCCCAACAGGGAATCTATCTACTTAATCTATCAACATTCTAACTATCACCCCAAGCGCAATGTCCATATGATACAGGGGCACACAAAAAACAATTAAGTGAGTCCTAGTTTAATCTCCCCTGGGCACGATAGACAGCACTCGAAACCCCAAGCAAGCAAAATTTAATTATCCTGAGTTTTCATTCTGTCATTTATTACCAGCCATAGGGTAAACCCAGGGCAAGGGATCACTTCTCTGCTCTAGATATGCTTGTACCATTCCACTTCATCTTTCCTAGGGTATATAGGAATTCCCAACTTTCTGAACCGAAAAATCACTATAAGTCGTTTGGTAAGCACGTTATGTAGAATTCATGTATTTGAAGAACTCATGTATATTGTAGGTTGAGTTGTGACAACTTGTGTAATATTGAAATGTATTGTTTGCCTTGCATGAGTTCATGGTAGGACCAACATAGTTTGGCATGAAATCTCAAGTACTTTGGCTAAACCCAAAGCATTTGAGATATTATGGGCACATGAATTCTAGAATTACATGGTGCACCAATATCATGATATTTGTCCAAAAATGAAACAAGAGAAACAGTGAAATCTCAAATTTATCATGTAATATTGAAATCTGTAGGTAGATTATTACATGCTTACCAAACCACCCTTCATTAAATCTACCTTCCACCTTATATCATTCTCATACAAGTGATAAATTAATGTGCAACATTTTGTGCATTTCAAAATTTTTCTCCAGATCCAAGACTCAGCTACAGTTGGTGTTAAGTCCCAAACAAATTAAAACAAGACTTTATCCTATTTTAGAGATCGATCGAGGCCACCCACAGGG